CAGTTGAAAATTGACAGATGAAGATAATTTTTTGAATTTGTGTTTCCAAAAAAACAGTTCACGTCGCCCAGCGGGTGGGAGCACGTGCCTCGACCTTGCCCGTGACCTAGTTCGTATCTGCCCTTTAACCCCCCCCCCCTCCCCCCAATGGGGATATCCCGTAAATTTACTTGTTATTAAATCCAATAGTTCTCGGTCACAGGTACACAATTAATTTGTTGGATAAAAAATTAATAATGGTTGTACAACCGATTTGGAATGGTTATGGGAAATGAGTTATGAGTTATGAGTTATGAAATGGTTATGAGATGAAAATTAAATTAAATAATTAAAAAAAAATATATTTTAATATAAATTAAATCGATATTTTAAGTGACTGGATGACAAAACCCCATAGTCATTGTTGGCCGCTTGGTTAAACTTTAAAATATAAAAAAAAAACACCCAGACAATTAGTATACATGATATTATTTGCTTGTTTCAAAAATTGTATTTTAAATTTAATTATAATTAGAGCTAAGCATATCAAATACCAAGATAAACCGTATTGGTGTATAATAAATATAGAATACTTTCCAACGATAAATTAATTACCAGTTCACTAGAAACATTACAAACATTCTCTACAATTTGCTTTTTACATTAACGAAACTGCCTAACAACTTTTTCTTTCAAACAATTCACAAAGTCTTTTAGAACCAAAAGTCTACCTTCGTGTTATCTTCAAAGCTATGTTTTGTCTTATTGCTGTCTAGCACGCGATATTAGAATATCGTTTTCATTTTTCTGGCGAGATCTTTTATTTGGACTTTCATTACCCGAATGAAGGTTAGAGCAAATAAACACCATAGTGTTTATATAATCTATGATAAAAATATAACATAAACGAGGTGAAATTTGATTAATTATGAGTTTACCCCACAAAAATAATAATATTGTAAATATGTATTAGCAAACGTTTTCAACGGCCACCCAGATAATTTTTGTTTAGCTTTATACATTTTTCCGTTGGGGGAATTCCGTAATCTTTTAAGCTATTAAAATACAATTCAGAATGTTTCTTCTAAGTTTGATGATGATGAACCCTGGACGAACCGCAGATATGTGATTTAAAAACAATCAGAGAGCTCAATGCGAAACGCGTCATTACAACGACTGATCCTGGATGCTCGGCAGGAAAAGTCAAAGTGCAGAGAAAGTAGGCCAAGGTCACCCCATACCTCCTACCACCCCCCAACCCCGCCCCCAACACCTTGGTATCGGTAATAAATAATATCACCTTATAAAATGTCCCACAACTCACAAGGAAATGTCCGTTACTCTAGGACTGATCTAGACTTGCATTGCCTGTTGGGACTGTCGATTAAAAGGTGGATTTTAAGAATACACTTTCAATGTTTAAGATTGTTGCTTAGTCTTATTATGGTTTTTAAACTAGAATTATATTGCTTTGTTTCAAATTTATGATAAATCGTGCATCAATAATGGCGTACTAGAAACTTGTACCTGTAAACTAATATTCCGAAAAAATAAAAAGTAAAAAATATACCGGGTGTCCCAAAAAGAATGGATCAAAAGTAAACTTGCATAAATACTTTATTATTAAAGATAAAAAGATAACTTTAAATACACTTTTTTCTTTAGCTTCATGAGTTTTTCCTACCATTGTTTCACTGCCTAATCTATACGTGTTCTCCGCTATTTAGTCAAAGAAATCAAGTCCATGTTCCAGATCTTACTGCACATTGTGGTGTAATTTTTCCAAAGGCTTCCCTTATCTTTGCTTTAAGTTGATCTATAATTGAGATGAATGAGCAATAGACACACTTGATCTTTCACAAAACCAAAGACCTAAAAAAATCACACCACAGATGTTATCTTTATAAACCATCCAATACTTCGTGCTTTCAACTGCAACTCTATTTATTACAACTTATTGTTTTAAAATTTTAAACAGGCTACAACAATGGAACAGCTGATTTCTGTTAAAGGGAACCGAAAGAAACTCTGAGATATCAGCTTTAAAATTAGTCATAGTTGACTTTTCTAGGACCTTTGGTAGCACGTAAATTAAGCTGTAGATTTGATCCATTCTTTTTGGGACACGGTGTATTATATGTCCAATAACACTTGTAATACGTCTAATTATAAGTGTTATTAGACGTATATTTTTTCATGTAATTTAATAACACGTACTGTGCTGATCAAGAAGTATGATCATAATATACGTGTATACACAGTTTTTTCTTTTGATCGAATAAATCATGTCCTAATCATTATCCCCGACGCGTACCATTGTTTAGTGAAATTACCTGATATTTCTGCTGCATTTCCCTGCATTGAGCTGTAATCAATGAACGCATGCTCATGACACTTTCATGGATGTGAACATGCCATTTCCCCATTAAGTATCCAATTGAGTTTTCCTGCGTGAGAATATCGCATTTAAAGAACACAACTAAGATGCTATTGGTTAAGGAATTCTATGATGTAAAGAAAAAATAGGTGTTAAAACGCTCAGGGCTACTGTAAAACTATCCGTGTGCTCCCACTATCTCCGCGTTCCGCCATCTCCGAACCCAAATCTGTCCCGCCATCTCCGAATTCTTGAGTGACCCTTATAATCCCGTCACTGCCTGCGTTGTTAGCTGTCATTGCATCCGCGGCTGCGAAGCCCCGTGGATGGAAGATTTAATGAAAATTTAACCCGTGGGTTAGGTTAGGTTAGGTCAGGTTAGGTTAGGTTAGGTTAGGTTAGGTTAGGTTAGGTTAAGATAAGTTAAGTTAAGTTAGGTTAGGTTTGAACGGAAAGTCTTTACGCAGGAAGTAACCGAGGATTATAGGGATCACTCTGAAATTCGGAGATAGCGGTACACGGAGATGGCGGGACGCGGAGATAGCGGGAGGTAACCAAACTATTAAATAAGCTTTCCCCAAGTACAGCTTAATGAATTTTAAGCTTAGGGAATTTCAAACCCACTATATCGACTATTGTTTGAGGAAATGTTCATTATTTACAATTCAAACACGTAGTTCTGTTTGATTAAAACCTTACGTGATAATAGTATTATAGTTCGGTCGTTTAGAAAACGACCTGCGGGCTAATGCTAAACCAATGCTGGAGGAGGTCGCTTTCTAAGCGGCCGAACTACAACATTTAATTTTCATTCAAATCAATTCATTATATGCTCCTTTAAAAAGTTAAAACTCGATTCAACTTTTTCGAGTAAGTATTGGGTATGGTTGTTGAATTGTTTTAAATTTTGCTTATTCTTTAATAAAAATCGCGAGGCAATAACTTAGCCTACACTTTCTTTTACAGCATTAAAAATTTTTATTTTTAAGATAAAACCAATGTAATACTCTAAAAATACACGTAATAATTAAATTTGTTTTGTAGGTGATAAGTATGATTCATGTACAGTACTAACAAAAAAAAACAAAAAATAATCACAAAACTAAAATAATACCATATGTATAAAACATACTCCCTTAGTAGATCCCTTAGCAAAATATAAATTTTAACTTTTCCCAGTTTATACATCCTGCAAACATTATCTTTTGTCAAACAGAATTTGTCTTTATTTTTAGTATCAGATAAATCTTTAGCCTGTTCATTCCCTCTGCGAAATTCACACGATTTACCTGTTCCAAAATATGCAACCTCCTTAAAGCATACACTCTATAATGGCATTGATTTAAACAATAACCTATCCCATTCCCTTTAGTTGGAATCAAACCAGTTAAAGTTTAGGTAACGCTTAAAGAATCATCTCATTAATTCCTCATGTTACAAGCATCAAAAGGAGGTTTTATTATTATTATTATTATTATTTTTTTGTAATAGAGGATTATGTAGCTTTGGAAATAGATGGTAAGCTGATTTATATGTATATTTTTTAAATCTATCCTAAGATGAGTTGTTTTTTTTTGTGACTTGGCTAATGCAATTATTTTTGTTAATCTTTATTTGAATAAACAGATTTAAAATTTGAGAAAAATAATTTTAATTTCTCATTCTTATAGAACAGCTGAAGCCAATTTAATTGTTATAGTTCCGTCCGGTGTACTAAAGAGGTAGAATTTTGGTTACAATTTATTATCTTGTTCTTTCCGTAATTTAACCCCCCGTTTAACCAAATAAAACTATCATAACAATGAAACATCCTCTAGTTATAACCAAACAGTTAAGCACAACTCATAAAATTAACTCGAAAATAATATAAACACAATTTTAGCGACACTAGTGAACCACCACCAGGCATGAGTCACCACCACCACCACCACTCACCAGTTAGTGAGTCACCAGGCATGAACTAGACACGAAAACGAGCTTCAAAATTTACAATGGAATGGGAAGTCTACTTGTGTAGATTGGCTTTAGATAATACACATAACAAGATTTTTAACAGCAACAAAATTTGAAAAAGATACTGTATTGATCATAAACATAGACATATTAAATTACGTATCTGACCCGAAAGTAAAAATGTTTGCATTAACCCACGGCCGCGATTAGCCTATGATTTAAATGGAACTATACAAAAATCATTCAAACCATTGTAGTTTTGTTTGTTTGAGGTTAGATGCTAGTGACGTCATTTGTTTATTTTATGTTACATACCATTTCTGTTCTAATATCTCTGTAATTAAGAAGTAAGATAAAAGTGCTAATCGCTCAAACATTTTTAGAACGAAGCACAGTAACCTTAACTGCAATCCCATTTAAAAAAATAATAATGAAGTTTTAAACCACTAAATATAGTTGCTTTACTTAGTAAATGTACGCACCATCAAACACTTAAAGGGATATCTAGTTAGTTATGGATGTTATGTTATTGAATCTAAAATGTTCTATAATCAATGGTGCGTTAGTGGATCAATAATTCTACAAGTGGTGTTTCAAGCTACCTACCTGTATTTAGTCTTTAGCGACAGATCAGCTGTTTGTCAGTCGGTCTGGGCTGGGGTTTTGCTCTCTTCTGCAAGCAATCAAAATGTCAATAGTCAATGTTTGTTTGGGATTTGAGGTTAAGCTTAAAAGTGTGGAAAAAGTGTAGGTAAACTGATTAATCGACATATAATTTAGGTCCATATACATAATTCGTTGAATATGTCTGTAACGACCAAGACTCTTTCATCTTTAGTAGGCATATCTCCTTTGTTTTCAAGAATTTTGTCATCTTTACCTTCTCAAAATTTTACCTACTCTTTTGCTTATGGTTCTGGAGTTTTCAAACAGGATGGTATAAAAACATCAAAGCCTATGATTGACATGGTTTTTGTTGTCGAGGACGCTTTAAAGTTTCACTCAGAAAATATTCTCATGAACCCTACCCACTACTCAGGACTTAGGTATTTAGGACCAGGATTTATTTCAACTTTGCAAGAGCGGTGGGGAGCAAATGTTTATTTTAATACATTAATACCATTTGAAGACGTTACAATAAAGTATGGTGTTGTATCTAGAACTGATCTTGTAACAGACCTATTAGACTGGAATCATATATATTTGTCAGGAAGACTTCATAAACCAGTAGAAACACTTCAACAAACAAGCAACTCAGAACTTCGGTCAGCTCTTCAGTTGAATTTGCACAATGCTTTACATGCTGCATTAATTATCCTACCTGAAAACTTCACAGAGCGAGCATTGTACAAAACCATCACATCCTTGTCTTACACCGGTGATTTCCGAATGATAATAGGAGAAGACAAAGACAAAGTAAGCAACATCGTTGACCCACAAATAGAATCTTTTCGAGTTTTGTATGCTCCTGTTATCAAAACTCTGCATGACTTTGTTGACGTTCCACTTGATCGTGGATGTGATGTGAACTGTAGTCAAGATACATTTCCATCAGCAAAACTACACCATCTGAACCAGCTCCCGAGAACTCCTCAGCGAGCGATTGTAAGGTTTTGGAACAAACAAGCAGGTGGAAAAAGACAAGACACTGAAGATGTTTTGCGAGCAGTAGCTCATGATCCAGACTGTGGTGAAATTTTAAGAATGTGCCTAAGCAATATTGTATGGACTTCTAGCATAACTCAGAGTTTGAAAGGGATATTTACAGCAGGTTTGTACAAATCAGTTAGGTATAGTGGAAGTAAACTCTATAAAATGGCCAAGTCAATCAGTAAAAAGAAAAATATCAACTTACCATAAAATTGAGTTGTATAGCCTTGCTTAAGTTACCGGTATGCTGGGAGATCTTTATTTTTGCTCTGAGGATTAGTATTCAGCTCTCGTAATAGTGAATTTATGATGATAAATTTTAGTTTGTGTAAGTAGGCCTAGTTACTTGTAGAACCTTTTCAAACAATTATATTTTTTTTTTAGATTTAAAACCTGATCCATAAAAATGTTTGTGAAATCTTAAAAATCCAGAGTCTGTGTTAAAGTAGACCTGCATAGCATTTGTTTGAAAACAATTTATTTTTAACAGTTACCTAAAAAAAAGAAGAAATATTTGAATAACTGGACCTTTTCCGTTAATTCACTTCCACTAGTTTTTAGAGCAATAGATCATTAGCAATTGAAGTGGTAGTGAATTGAACTTTGGTTAGGTTAGGTTAGTATCAAGTTTAGTATAGAGTTAGAAAACCCCAACCTAACCTAACCAAATTCCACTCAAGTGAATTAACAGTAAAGGTCCCTAAATTGTATATTGCAGTTTTGTTGACCTCAAAAACTGATATAGGCTACCAAAGTGATCTCAATGTTTTACGACCATTATTACCTATCAATATTAAGTGTTTTTGGTTGATTAACTTATGATCTATTACTAAGTAAACTTAGTATGCCCTAAATTACTGTAAAATGCACATTAGGCCTACCGGTATTCAGTAGGCTACGGTATGTAACAAAATCCCTTCCTATTCGCCCGCTTGTCGATTTAACTATCTCGTTAATCATTTTTAAACCACCATCAGTAAAACACTGCCTAAGGATATAAAACCTCAACAGATTTAATCGTATTATTTATAGAACTGCAGAAAGTACCTAGCTCAAAAATGTTCCTTTTTTTACACAGCACCAAAAGGCCAAAATGTAGGACATTATTATATTTAATAAATGCATTTGAAAGCCTATCTGGGTTGTGTAGTGCTCGCCTTCAAATCTGAAGGTCGCTGGTTTGATTCCAAGCGACATTGTTTCCAGACCGAGATGGCATTTATTTGTTATCGGGCTATCAATTAATATTATGCTATCCAAAAATAGGTTGATGTTAGATGGTAACAAGATCAGGGTTTGAACCGTTCCTTACCAGCGTTAAAAATACAAAATAATACAAAAATAAAAAAGAGTCAACTGAAGGTTTCTGTATATAGATACAGTACCTACTAATTTTCTTAATTTTACTTCTACTGAAGTAAGTTAAGCTGATACTTGATATTCCATGTATATTGTAATAATGTAATAATTTGTATACAACTAATTTTTAATGCCAATAATAATCTGTGTCAGAAATTAAAAAGAGTAATTTTTTACACTATCCTCTGGTTCCAACTTTAGAAGAACTTGCCTAAGTTTCATCACCCCCACATTGAATTCTCTGTTTATTTCAAGTAAATATACTGATACCTAAAGTACCGGTAGATTACTTTTTGTCGAGAAGTATTTGATTGGAAGTTATGTTTTGTGTAAGTTAAACATTTGAAGAAGTTTTGTTGCCAACATGGAGAAGTTGAGAAATATAAATTAGGCTAATAGGAATTTAAAATGAGAGTAAGAAAAGTACAGTACTTGCCTGTTGTTTTAATTGTAGTTGATAAAGTTAAGATGTTTTAGTTCCCAGAAGTCTTTATATGAATTTGTATTATAAGTAGCAAGTAGCAAGTAGTGACGGTCCAGAAACCATAAATTTCAAATCTTGAAACCAAAACTTGAAGAAATAGGAATAAAACTTAGGTACTTCAAACCGATCACATCATAACATTACTTTAGATTTTTTAAATTGTTGTATCTAAATTCAATAAACTTAAAACTTTATAGAATAGAAATATATTTGAACTTTGTAAAAAGTGCAAACACAAAACATAAAAATATACAACTGACTAACAACAGAAAACAATAAATAATTCCAATCACCTGATACTAAAAGATAGGGAAATAGAATAAATTATGAATTGCTACTAAGTTGAATATAAGACAACTCTCTTGTTTGGGAAGGATTTGGTCAGTTTGTCTGGTCCATATCAATCCAAAGTACATTTTTATTTTGTACATGACGTTGCCCACTCAAGTGATGATCTCCCTTAATCTCCACTTGTCCTTGGATGTTTACTTGTAGTTGTAGTTTACTTCTGATTTCTCTGCCAAACAGCATCTTGTATGCAGAGATTCCAGATGTAGAGTTTGGACGCAAGGGCTTAGGATTGGAGATGGGTCCCTCGCAGGTAGGGCCGAGCTTCAACCGCACTCCCAGACCATACAGGGTATAGGGCCCACAAATATCATGAATTTTACTTGAACTTTACATAATAAAATTATGTTTTGCCTTTGGTAATTCAACATTGATGGGCATTTAAAAATGGGAAGTTGTCTCGCCTCAAAAAGGGAAATAAAAAACCATTAGGGGTTGGTAAGTTTTGGTAACCTTTACTTATCCAATCAAATAACATAGCCTATATCAAAACGTAATCACCACACACTATGTGCTTGCTAGTGATGTTAATGACTCAAGGGACACAGACACAGACGTGCTCCAGCAACTCGAGATGACCACATGAATTGCTACCACTTGCGCCTGCAGCCATCACCTGCTGCGTCTACAGCAGGTGCGACAATAATGTAGACGTCTTTTTATCAATATGATGGTGATGTAGATTGTAGGCGGACGAGCAGTTACGTCTTCTTCTCCTTAGCAAGAAGAAACAATGTAATCTAAATGTGCATGTTTGTATGTTTTTTTTTTATTTTTATTTTTTTTTTTATTTTTTTTTTTAAAGAGGTTGGCGGCCTCTTTTAACCTTGCATTTGCCCGTCCACATAGACTAAGCGCCCGTGCATGGATCGTTTACAGCAAAGCAAGGAGTGAGCCGGTACAGTACAAAGGTGAACTGTACTGATAAAATGTTATCGGCAGTGACCAGGATCCGAACCCACGACATCGTTGCCTTGGGCCCGAAGTCCGCGACGCTACCGACTGAGCCACCGACTCACTAAATTTGTTGTTTACTTTTGAAAGGAATACAAAAGATCCACATATTTATGAGTTTGGTGACAAAAAATTAAGGATACTTACTGTTGTCTCCTGTTAACTTCAGTACTTCACTTGATATCCTCAGTCACAACAAAAATGTCAATGTTGAAGCACTAGAATGGTCTTGTCTGTTTGTACAAGGCTTTACTTGGCTAAGATGAGTGGGATTTGAAATGTGAATCTGACCAGAGGGAATAATTACTGCCAGACTAGTAAAGTAATTAAGTCATCTTACTAATATTATAAATGTGAATATTAATATAAAAATACAATATTTTGATGTGTCGCTGGGTTTGTTGTTGTTGTCTCAGACTTTGGTTGGAGGGTGTCGGTTTTGATTCCACCAGTATACTCAAATGTTGTAAACTCTAAATAGATGTTGAAATCAACAGAATGTTTTAAAAAAATAACTAGTATTCTTAGATTTTTGTTGCTTTTGTTCAATTTGGTGTGAACACAGGGGAAATAATTCAAAAATTACTTATAAACATTTAATTAATATAATTTATTGATTCGAATGACACACTATGATGAACAATAATTAAATCTGGAAGTTGAAAAGATAAAAGCAAGATAGTGTATCTTTGTAGTGAATGATATCCTACACAAAAATATACTTCAGAAAATACAAACCTGTTTATATCTCTGAATAAAAACTATTATAAATATTCAATCAAATTTGATCAACCTTAGTAAAACTGAAAGAACACAAGGACATAGGTACAGGTATACACACAACTTACAGTGCTACATTTCATCTTCAAACATTTCTTGGCTAAGAGTTACAGCTTCGACTATCTTAGGAGAAGGCGCAGCCTTGGAAATCTTCTTGAACAGCTTTTCCAATAAAATACACTTTTGTTTTTCCAGAGCGACTAGATCATCTTGCATCTTTTGTAATGTATTCCTTTTCTTTACTTCCTCTTCCTGGTACTGAGTTAGAAACTCTTTGAACCATTTCGGTTGCACTTGCACTACTTTTTTGGATGGAGGTAAGTATTCTTCTTGGAAATCACTTTGGGGTGAGCCTGGTTCCGGTATCTCTTTCTTTATTGTTGACCTTTGTTTCCAGACAATTCTTTTTGCTATCATCTTGTTACCAAGAATATCGTCCAGAGCCTCAAAATATAACCATTTTGATTTATTTTTTCGACCTGTTGGAAGAAACTGAATCATTACACATATTATAACAAACCCAATATTTTGATATTGTTAGTTTTATTACATAGATTAAGGAACATTCCTGAAAAATAAAACAATCCAAGCCTTTCTTAGTGATCAAGAAGCCGAGGACGGATTCTGTTAGTCATCCACAATTAAATAAACTTGTTGAAACTTAGGGTTAGTATGAATGTTTGTATATACCCTGTTTGTGTGTTTAAACTTATTACTCTCAGAATCAGCTCTGAGGATTGCCATAATACACAGAATAATCCTTTAACATAGTGCAGACAGGTTATTAACAAACATTTAGAGAAATATTGAGCAAAGACTGCTCTTCTCGTGGAGTTCTGATTTCTCTCTGAGCCCACAAGTGCTTTGAATTAACCCTCCAGTACTCGCGCCACGGACTCAGAGCACATTTGAAAAAGCGTGCCGAAATAAGTGAATCCGTGAGAGAATGACATGACGCGCCATCTACCTTCCCAAGGAAAATGGCAGTGTTTTTACCGTCATAGCGTCAGTTGGCCCTGAGCGACGAGGGGGTAAAGTTAGGCGCGGCATGTTTCAAGAGGATGAAGAACAGGCCAGCGATTAAATGATTGGTTTTCAACAGGAAATTTTCAATTTAATTTTAAAGATTTGTAATAAGTTTGAAATTTATCTATATTTATTTACATATAATTGGATTATCCACATACTGGGTGAAAAAATCCCAGGACAGTTAAATATTTTTAAAAAATAATAAGGATACAGTAGTGCTTCAAAACGTAATACAAGGTTACTGGGCATTAACATAATTTTAAAACATTATTCAGTGATACGCTGCCCACATAGAGGGAAGGCCCGCTAGGGTTCTTTAATGTAACCATAGGTTGATTTGCACATCAAATTAAAGTCTGCCAGGAAAATACAATGCCCCAAACTTGAACTCAAACAGACAACCTTAGAGTCAAAAATGACACCTGTTCAAAGGTTCCTTTAATTTGCAATCTTATTCTACGCTAGCTCCTCAGATAGTGTGTAAGTAAAAGAACAGTTTAAATGCATTAACTTAATTTTTTATTTATTTTTTTCATGGTGGAAGGAAAACACATAGGTGTGCTATTCCCATCATATGCTGGCGTCAGATTGCAAACACAATTTTACCAATTATAAAAATTATAAAAACAATAACAATCAAATCAAAACAAACTTATATGGCAATACAATCAGGTGATTTTTTTGTTTGCAATCTGGGTGACGTCAGCATATGACGGGAATAGCACACTTATGTATTTTCCTTCCACCATGGTTTTTTTTTATTATAACTTATACTAAAACTTCAATTTGCGGTTGCAGCCTCTTTTCTGACATTTTAACTGACTGTGAATCTTACCTGCTTGCGGTACATTGTATTTATATGTTTTCTTCAGCTGTCGCCATTTGTTGTCACAGGCTGCAGGAGTGATGTTGTAACCTCGAGCTTGCATGCTGCGACTTATAGCTATCCAGATGTCTCGAATCAAGAGGCCCTTCGGATACAAGAAGTCTTGCAGATGGTTTCTGTACTCATCAATCAAGCTGAAGGTCATCTCCTGATCCCAAATATTCCCGATTGTCATTCCTTGGATATATTCTTCATATGGATTTTCTAAAAAAAATTGCAAATCATTTTAACTGAGGTGTAAAATACACATTTTAATAGGGTTCAAAACTCTTATATCCAAGAAAAACTAATAACACAATACACTTTTACCTTTTAAAGATTACTTAACTGAATTTAACAAGTAAATCGGTTCTGGGTCTAGATCTTCAATATGCACCTATCGAAATTTGTCAAAAGCTGGAGCTCTTAAATTACAATTCACATTTCAAACTGTTACAGTATAAAGAAAGTTTGTCAGGAACCCTCAAGGAAATTACATTTTTACTTACCATCCGTCTATGTACTAGACCATAATCTTTAAAATGACACCTCAATCGTAAAAATCTGCTTAGTAAAGCGAGTGAAAAGGGTTGTTACAGAGAAAACCTTTATTGTCCTAAGTACAGTATACAGATAATACATCTTAGATATTCAGATGCCCTGCTACCCTCTTAATTATGGTAAGTG